GTTTCGCAAGCTGGTACGACTGGTTGTTCTTTGGCCAAGATGGCGCTCCCTATGCAAGGCCCGTCGCCAGTCAACCAGAACCCTAACCACAGCGTAGAAGTCGGGTCGACAGTCATAGCTCTTTGTAAGCAGTCAAGTCTGATTTGACCGACACAAGCTGAGGTTCCGTCGGCATAGCGAAGGAGAAGTCCAATAATGATTGGTTTGCCCATGCGTTGGCGATTGCACGGGACAATCTCAACCACGTGCTTAAGCCTAGCTCTGTTCCAGGCGTAATACTCGCCATGACGAGAGAGAGGATATGGGGTTGGCCACTCGACTGCTGGTCTCCGATCTCGATATCTAGGCCGAGGTGATTGGAATCCTAGTCTTCGCACGCCACAAGTCGTCGTCTCAGCGTAAATGTGACTTGTGGCCTTGCTAGGCAGGTCAAGAAGTGTCCACTTAGATCGGCCCCAGTTTGGCCGTGGCTGCACTCCTAGAAAGGTGGAATGTCCTTGATCCGTTACGAGCTGTGCATTGTGAGCAGACTTCAACATGGAACATGAACGGATCAACACATACTAGTAAGCCAATTGCAGTCCTCAGCTCGCCCTCGAATTTCCAAATTTGCGTCAGTACTTCGCCTTCGTGAAGTGGCATGTAAAGCCACATCGCAGCTTCATCCATCGTCCGTAAAGCCTGATAAAAGTCGAGACTCTCTCCGACACGGTGCGCATGGAGCATCAGAATCTCCCAATTCCAACAAAGTGAGTACGCTGTGGTCTGTGGATCGTTACAGGACACTACGGACATGTGATTGCTTGGTTCCGCACCACAAATGTCTTCGAATCGGCTGCACACGGACGAGAGATGCGGGAGGCCCCAGTACATTTCTTGCAAGACTATTGTGTCGTCGACGACAAGCTCACGCAGTTTCAAACCCTGAAAGCTCTGAATTAGCACGCTCGACTAGAATCGCTGCAGTACACTGAAGCTCACGTCACTGCGGATCCGAATGAGGCCACCAACGTCTTCCAGTTTCACGGCTTTCCACCATATGCCAATTTCTTG